ATTCTCCTCTCTTCTTTCTTTTTTTTTTTTTTTTAAAGAAATCGACTACAGAATTGTTAACATTGAATCTGATAGGAAATAGCTGTTTCGTTACCTCTTCGTATTTGTGTCAAATTCTAGGTGAAATACTTATCGACTTTAGAACATAGATCTTCCCTTGTGTTTGAGAAAATGCCGGAACTGAATGATCGTTTTTGGTTATCCCAACGAAGAAAATGGGCGTCACTCAGACGCCCAGGGCAACATACCAGACGGACCAGGCCTCCTTGTTGTAGGTAATCTGGCCAAGTGGCACATTGCCTTAGGTGTTTGGGGAAACTAATGAGACCTTAGAAACCAGAATTGGAAAACATCCGAGTTTCGAAGTGAGTTTCAAAGTAAAATCGAATTCTTTCGTTTACTTTTCGTGATGTATTTATAGAAAACCTATATAATTAGCTTAGCGCGCTTCAGTAAGAATACTTTACACGGTAAGAATATTTCACACAGCAAAAACGTTCTACATATTAAAAATATTTCATATACTGAGAGTATTCCACGCATTGATAATTTTTCATATATTAGGAATATTTCTCATATTTAGAGTATTTCACATTTCAAGAACATTTCATGCGATCAGAGTATTTCATACACTTAAAATATTCCACAGTTTACACAATAAGAATATTTCACACATTTGGAATATTTCACACTTTAAGGACATTTCACACGAGGAATTATTCTGGATCAATGATTTTATGGATTATGAATAGCTGTACCTCCTTACATTTCTGTGTAAACCAAGACGTCGTTAGCCTTCAATCAAAGAGTTTGTATCCATAACGTGAAGGTGATGTTATGTAATAACTCATTCAGAAGACACACATAAATTCGGAACTAATCTGATACAGCTCTAAAAACAAATTTTAACAACAAACGGAAGAGCTTGTGTACGTTCTTCAGAGTGTGTACATCAACAACTGGGACAAGGATATAAAGCTACCGATAAGTTAAAAGTTGTCGCGTTGAACAGAAGGGGGTGATTAAAACATGACGATAAAAAAATTAATAGTTCTTAATATATCTAATCCGTTTCTATTAATCCTACGGCTATTACTAGATGGGTGATAAGCAATTTAATCATTCAGAGAATTGATAAAAACGTATTTCGTATTATGGCTTTATCTGTCGCCGTCCCTAATATAAATCTACTGACCAGAAGGAAGACAGCCAGTAAATTACACCTTACCACTCATCATACACACCAGAAGATTAACTGTCACCCTTATAGCGCACCCACAACTTAAATTGCAGGAAATATTTTGGGGTTCGCCCGAATTCGAACCTGACTCGCCATCTCCGAAATCCAGAGGCAACCTGCGCTCAACATGAAATGAAATAACTGTAGAAAATATATAAATATTATTTCAACAATGCAAAACTGTTCATATTTTTTGTACGAAAATGTATAAAAATTATAAAATCACAAATTTATTTTAACAAAACATATCTTGTTTGATATTTCCTGAGAAGACACTGGAGTCACGTTTGACATTTTGTGAGACATTATCTTTGATGTTTTCTAAGAAAATTATATGAGCTTTGTTAAAGATACAGGGTAGGGTAAAAGTGACTACACAATTGTATCATTTAGAACCTAATTTAATTTTTAACGTCTCACTTTGAAACCAAAAATAGTCAAATATCAATTGTCTTTGTGATATTTTCCTTTGTTTGTTTTGTTGTTAAGCTCAAAGAAACACAATGTTCTATCTATGCTCTGCTCACCGCGAGTATCGAAACCAGATTTTTAGCGTTATAAGTCCTGAGACTTACGGCTGAGCCACAGGGAGGGGGGACATTTCTTTAATATCACCCGTTTAGTAGCAACAGTATATTAACTTTTGTCCCACTTTGTATATCAGTTGTGTTTGATGTTTTTGAATACAAGAGTTATTATAAGTACAAACTTACCACTGAGCCGCCGGGAAGCCGCTCTTGCGGGGTACAAATATTTAAAAAAATCCTTTCATTATTTTGCTTCCTTAGATTTACTAAAAGATGGGGCCATTAAAATGTTGATCTTCAGTAGGTAATATATAATAGCACCTTGTCTAGTACTATGTCTGTCGTAGTCCAGCCAGCCGGATGGGTTTCGGCATTGGATATGGCTGATGTAGTGATGTTGACGTATCATATTTTACTTTGCTTTCATTCATAAGTTTCTAGAATAGATAGAGTTAATTTATTTTGAATGCTTTAATTCTATGAAAAATTATGTTTTAACGAAAAGTTGGCGGTGGGTGCTATTAACTAGCATCCTTACCTATAGTCTGTCAGTTCAAAATTGGGGACGGCTATGCACAGACAACTGTCATTATTGTTTCTGTCTAGAAAAGCTACATCATAGGCTATCTACACTTCGTCCACGGCAGGGAATCGAACTTAGTATTCTAAGTTACCGTTGATTCGCCGAGAGACTGAACGGATTACTTCTTGATTAGATATTTTATTTAGGATATTCCTTTTCATACGTTAATATTACGTAAGCAGTAAAAAGTATTCTTTTTTTTTTCTCACATATGGTTATCATATTTATTATCCCTTTATGGCAGTGTATACATATGTACAAAGAGTGTATGAATGCACATGAAGATCTACAGAATCTCGAGCACATTAAGGTCACTTGGCCAGACGATGAACCCTATATTAAAGTTATTAGTTCAGTAGGAAACTCCTCCCCTTCTTTTGTCTCTCAATTCAGGTGACCTCTGCAAGGTTAAGTATGTGTCCTTTGGAGATAAATATGCCTCACGGTAAAAAAATAAACAACTTTCAGGGTTACAGTGTTCAAGTTGTAATGAAACGGAAGGTTTTAAGGCTAGACAACGAAAGTTTCAATTTTGGAATACAAACCTAAGTACTTACTTGTCAAAAACTTTGTAGTTCTTATTTTTCTTGATTGTTGTGCGGTAATCTTACAATATTTTAAGTTAAGAAGAAATAACAGTGAACATAAATCAGGCATACGCACTAACACCCACAAAATGTGCAAAAATGTACGACGGGTAAAACAGCATACAATTACATAACGAATGAAATCTTTCAATTCAAATCATACAACTTTTATGACAATCAAGTTCTTGTTTGTCACGAGGAAGCGAGAATGAAACACATTTTACACCAAGTTGGCGAATAGACAGATTTCACTCTGTTGCTAAGCGCAAAGATATACAACAAGCTATCTGTGACATGCCCACTACGAATATCGAAACTCAGTTTTTAGTACTATAAGCCCTCAGAGTGACCGCTGAGCCACTGGGGACGAACAGATTGATTGATAAAAGTTCGCAGATAATAGATACAACACAACAGCATATTCTTTAAAAAACAGTACATAATTTATTAATCTTTACCAGGGTAATTGTTCTTATTAATTCTCTCTAAGACGTGGATTGGTACTGCTGTTTGAGTTCCAGATTTCGGAGCTGGCGAATTGGGTTGGAATCTGTGCGATACTACAGTATATTCTCTCTTCTTCAATCTGTGGTTGAGTTATAAAAGAGAGAATTATTAGCGTGGATAGTGGGAGTGCAGTTGATTGAATGTCTTCTTCCACGGTCAGTAGTTCAAAACTGGCTTTGTTATACCACGGTCAGTAGTTCAAAACTGGCTTTGTTATACCACGGTCAGTAGCTCAAAACTGGCTTTGTTATACCACGGTCAGTAGTTCAAAACTGGCTTTGTTATACCACGGTCAGTAGTTCAAAACTGGCTTTGTTATACCACGGTCAGTAGTTCAAAACTGGCTTTGTTATAAGTATGAAATACTGCTCTCTCCCATGAAACGAATAAGAAAATAAATAAGACTCGAATGTATGTGGTAAAAAGTATATTTTAATTTCCTAAGTGTCGCTAAACAATTTTTCCAGTTGTTTGTGAAATACAACCAAATGCTTCCCGTATGCAAATATTGTCAATTTATTAAGTATATTGTGTGATAAAAATAATAGTGTCAGACTTCGAACAAAATCCATTCTTCACTGTATCTTTTAAATTCAGTTTAAATAACTGAAAACAACAACCTTGACGCCAGACTCCTCGTTCGCTCTTGTGTACTCATTAATTTCATATTTCTCAGTAAAGACGTGCTCGTTCAGTTGACGTCTTTTGAAAATTCCCTCGATTTCCTGTAGATGGCAGCACTACTATACAAATCCTATAAATACAAGCTATCCTCTAGCATCTCGTGCCTCAAATTAGGAAACTGGTGTTGTGAGTAAAGGGTTACCGTCTCTGGACGTGATGGATCTACTAAATGATATGAAAGACTGGTATAACCACACGCTGGAAAATGGAGGTAGGGTAAAATTATAACTATGAACTTTAGTGGAAAAAAATTATATATTAAAAACTAATTTTTTATGTATTGGATCGAGTACTGCGTCCAAGAGAGTGAGAGATGAAACAAAACTACACGGACAATGCCGTGAGAACCTCCTTAATTAGAAGTTTTACCTATGATATCATAGTCCCTAGTGAAGGTTGTTTTTATTATTTTGGTAAGAAACGCTAGTGTACATCTGCTTATTAAACACTCAAACTCTTTAAATATTTCACAATCTGCATTTCTTGAGAAACAAAGATAACTATATTTTTATGTGATGTTTATATATATATAGTTTACCTCATTTCCTGGCTTCACAAAAATTCTGTCACTGAAGTTGGATTCACTTTAATTCCATCAAGAACATTGGCTTCACCAAGCTTCCGCCATAAACACTGACTTCACCAATCTTTACGTATTTACGATCGTTTAGTTTTTCTTGTTTTATTTATACCGCTGCCGGTGGCTCAACATTAGGTCTGAGGTCTTATAACGTTAACAAATTGGGTTCAGTACTCGTGGTGGGCACAACAGAGATAGCCCATTGTGTAGCTTTGTACTTAATTACAAACAAACTAAATTTATACCGCTGCATGTGTCACTGTTTCGAAATTCTATTGTAGTCGAAGTTCGCTCACTTGGTCTCAAGACACGTGGAAAATAGTACAAGGATATCCCTATCTTGGAAGTTCTAAATCTCTGACCTGAACACATCTTTATGATCTGAATGTATGTATATTAAGTTAAAATTGGCTGTTACACGCCCTTCCCGAAAGCGTAAAATTTTCGGTGGCATCATACTGTTTAAATAACGCCAAACGACGTCAAAATGTAGTTTTAATACATACCGTTCCTCCGCGAATTTATAACGGCTGTGATAGTCACGTAACTTGGTAACTTGCATATTCGAAATCATTTTAGTATAGTGTACTCAACCCTGTATTTTTCAGTTAGGTATTCATACGTTAACAGCCCATCTTAAGTTCATGATGTCAGAAAAACACGTAGGCTCAATAAGTTAATATGAAAAGATAAAAACCTCATAACCCGAGCGCTTTCGAAAAGTGGACTTTTCTACTTCAAGGTCAAACTGGGAGCGGTGGTGTAACTGAATGAGTGATACATAAAAGGAGTTGAGTGACATCATGAAGGTCACCATTTTAAATATATAAAACAGAGCTTTGAGAATTTGTTTTTATCTTTCATATAATGTATTACTTTATATATATATATCAGGGTCCGCACGTATTTTTCGTCCCCCGAAAGAACAGCAGTGAGTCTACGGACTTACAATACTAAAATCTAGGGGTTTAAGTTCCCGTGGTGGACACAGCAGATAGTCCAATGTTCTAGAACAAACGGACGTGTATCCCTGTTGAAGTCACATTGTGCTACCTTCCAGATGCCCGAGTACAAGGATGGATGTTCATGCAAGGCCCTGGTTCGACCGTCACCATCTGTTTGTCTTACGTGTACTTTGTTAAGGTACTCGGACCTTTCCTGATGAAGAACCGGAGACCATTAGTTTTGCACAGGGTTATGCTACTTTATAACTTCGTCATGGTTTTCGCAAGTATATATTTATTTTATAAGGTAAGAAAAATGAAAGTTTCCTTTCTAAAGTAGACATACAGTTTAATTGTTGTTAAACATGTATTCACTAAATAAAGCTGTAAGGTGTTTAAGAAAAAACATTCATACAGCTATTTCGGAGTAAGAAACAGTGTTTAAAAGTTCAAATATTATGTCGCTTAAATTAAATACCACAAAGTTTCAAAAACGTTAGAATTTGGGATTCCTTTTGGAACAACAATATTAACAGTGTTGTGTTTTACTTGGTTTGACTTGAATTTCGTGCAAAGCTACACGAGGGCTATTTGAATTCGCCATTCTTAATTTAGTAGTGATAGACTAGAGGGAAGGCAACTAGCCAACACCATCCACCGTCAACTCTTGGGCTACTCTTTTACCAACGAATAGTGGGATTGAGCGTCATATTATAACGCCCGCACGGCTGAAAGGGCGAACATATTCGATGACGGGAAATCGAACCTTCGACCTGCAGATTGCAAGTCAAGCGTCCTAACCACTAGGCAATGTTGGTATGAGAAGGGGTTCTACAGAGAGAACAAAAGTAATAGGCAGTCATCAGGCCCTGGTTTAGTGGATAAATAGGAAGGAATTAAAGGGTTCTACAGAAAGAACAAAAGTAATAGGCAGTCATCAAGCCTTGGTTTAGCGGATAAAGAAGAAGGTATTAAGGGGTTCTACAGAGAGAACAAAAGTAATAGGCAGTCATCAGGCCCTGGTTTAGTGGATAAATAGGAAGGCATTAAGGGGTTCTACAGAGAGAACAAAAGTAATAGGCAGTCATCAGGCCCTGGTTCAGTGGATAAAGAGGAAGGCATTAAGGGGTTCTACAGAGAGAACAAAAGTAATATGCAGTCATCAGGCCCTGGTTTAGTGGATAAATAGAAAGGCATTAAGGGGTTCTACAGAGAGAACAAAAGTAATAGGCAGTCATCAGGCCGGGTTTAGTGGATAAAGAAAAAGATATTAAGAGGTTCTAAAGAGAGAACAAAAGTAATGGGCAATCGTCAGGCCTTGGTTTAGTGTATAAAGAGGAAGGTATTCGCTTAGAAGAAAAAATCAGACAAATTATTAGATTAGTTACACTTCTTAAACCGGATTTTCAATCATAAACTTAGATGTAAACTAACTTATATTAAACTCAACAAAATGGACCCATAAAGTACTTCATGCCTTTGCAGCCAAAAAGGGAAAAATCAACTTATTTAAATAGTTCAAGGCAAAACACAGATAGGCCTACTAAAGTAGAGTTAACAGAAATTGTCATATTTTGCTCACGTGATGTTATTTATTGATAGAAATGATGAAGGGTTTTTCCGCTGCAGAACAGCATTTAAAATTTTGCTTGTAAAGCAGCAAAATGCTTAAAATCGGCAGTGAAAGTTGAGTAAATGGATGTAGAAAGTTTTTTTCAGCATTATAAGCCTTCAGACTTACCACTGTGCCCTTGAAGGATATTTCAAATTAATGCGATAACGTAAGTAATATATCAGAGGGTAAGAACTTGTGTATTGGTGATTAAGACTTACTACTGTGTCACTAGAGGGCATTTCAAATTAAAGTGGTGACGTAATATATTGGAGGATAAGAAATGGTTATTAAAACATAAGTAACCAGCGCGATTGCGCCTTTTCTTTTTCAGTGAAATAAAATCGATGTTCTCACCTACAGATATACTTATTCCAGTTGCGAGTTTGCGGCTAATGTGGGCTGATAATTTTTAGTAAAGTTGATTAAACCAACAAATGAATTCTCGGATGATCTTCGTTTGAGCCCTGATTATTCGCCAATTTTATGAGTGAAGAGGAGGAAATAGTGTACGTTTTTCAAAAAAATTAGAAAGGATGTCGTTTACTATCAATAATTAACTTCCAAGCAGCAGCAACTTCACGAAATTTAGTGGACTTAAACACTTCTTTTGACTAAATGTTTGATAATATCACTTTAAAAACACTTCGTCGCTGTTGTGTGCACTCTTTCAAATGTAAGGGGGTTATGAAAAAACCGTAAAAGGAATTCTTTTATAAACGAAAAATTAATATGAAATGCTGTTTCACTTCTGGTTAAAAATTCTTAATCAACTAATAAAATGGGTGTGATAAAACAATTTCTGCAGACAATTGTGATTTTCGTTTCATTCCTTAGGCCTAAAAAATTTAATGCATATTTTTTGTTGTAAGAAAAATTAAAATTAAATTATACAATTGGTCTTATACAATTCAAATGAGCTTTGAATGGTCGTTTTTTTTTTCATTTTAAATATTTATTTCACTTGTTTGTCGAACTTTATAACTTCTCTCTCATTTATATTTAAATTCTGTATTTTTTTCAATTTTTTTTATGTAACGAGTTAAATTTAAGGTGATTTAATTTCGCGATTAGTTTCAATAGAATTTTTATTACTTTCCTAGTGCTAAGAACTATTTAATATTGAATATTTACCTTTAATATGGCGAAAATTTACTATATGTTTTTAACTAGATACTACCTTTCAAAGCAGCAACCTGTAATTTTAGAGTTTTATTATAAATAATTTATGATATTATGAGATAGGCTAGGCCTACAACAGATCGTGCTTGGCTAGTGCTAAAGCTAACGCTAATAATTCTTATTGGTTTAGTACTCGCGATCATTTGTAAACGTATTTCATATATAAATAAATAAAACATTCTTCAATAAAATGCGTAGGAACATTCATTCATAAGTTGTTTTACGAGTCAGTATACTCAAAACTTTGAATTTAAATGTTTCTAAGCCTAGCGATGTCAATTATATTAATTCATATTATATAATTGTTTTACAAATCAAATTTATGGGTTGAATTGAGGTCGAGATAAAAAGTTTTGTTTTTTATTTCAGCTTGGAATCCTTGGCTGGTTTGGAAAATACAGCTATACATGTCAGCCTGTCGACTACTCAGACAATCCTGATGCGACAGAGGTAACTTTCATATCTGGTATATACTTCATCGTACTAAATTAAATGTTATTTTGGATTATTATTAGTTTGATAACGATATTTAATTCTTACTTCTAGTTTCACCTTTTTAGAGAAACTTCATACTTTTCCTGCACGGAACACGCCCATTGAAACGTTTGAGGATAACGTCAATAAATTGACGTTATAAATTTTATAAATTTTTAGCCTAACTGTTTACTTCTTACTTTTAAATAGAAGAAAAAAAGCACAAGAAAATCTTAAAGTTTCAAAAATCATTTGAAGTTTCTTTGTTTTATTTTCTAAGTACACTAATAGCTCAATTGTTGCTTTATTTAAGTTTGTTTTTAACAAGAGTTGACAGATCAGAATTTCTGATGAAAGAAATGTAAACTAGAAATTCGTCCAACGGCAGAACCAAATTATTAAGACTTATGACTATAAACGCTAATTCTTGATGTTCATTCTTTTAAACATAACCAAGTAAAAATATAATCCCCCAAAAGTAGTAGATGATCTTTTGTTAACTATTTTAACATGATATAGAGGGCACTGTATTCGCACATACACAAAATGAACAACTGCGGTTGCTATTAAGTCAGTACGAACATTTGAAACAGGTTGGTCCTTACCTCTTCCATCATAGCTAACCATCACACTCCCCTGATCTAACCCACGCTGACTACTAATTATGGGCTTTTTGAAGATATAATTCTATCTCTATAACCCATCAACCATTCCTCAAACAAAGAATGCCATTATGGCAGATTCAGGAGAATCCTGAAGAGATAACATGTGCTCTAATATTCTATGTCATTGCTCGGAAGACGAAGTACCGAAAATTATAGCAGCAACTTCGAATACGTAATACAGTGGCGACTCGTAGTGTCATTTTCAATAACTAATGGAATGCACATTCCCTTGACGCGTGTATGCGAAATATGTCGCCCGAATGTTACATGATTTGTTCTATAAACTCTTACTGAATTTATTACACTGTACTTTTTTCAAGTCAGAAGAAAATAAATGGTTGTTATTTTAAGAGTAATTACAAGTTTTGATTACCTTTGAATTAGAGCATTATTTTCCTGTTTCAGTATAAGTCCTTAGTTTTATTTAACCTCTTCTCTCTTTTTTATTTTTTCTTAGATGGTTCATATAACCTGGTGGTATTACATCTCTAAATTTGTGGAATTTTCAGATACGGTAAGTTCAGATTATTCAATTCACATGGTTTGTTTCTTTTATCACTAAGCTGAACAATATGCTTTCTGCTCTTCATCCACCACGAAGAATCGAACTTTGGATTTTAGCATTGTAAGTCCGTAAACTCTTGACGCCAACTCTTTACCAACAAATAGTGCGATTGACCGTCACATTATAAGGGTGAGCAATTAGTTTTCGAGATATAAATTTAATTATGGAGTTTTCTTTGTAATAACCTTGTATATACGTGAAGATTGTTTTAACACAGCCTAAAATGAAAAGAAAGAATAGAATAAAAAGCATGAGCATGTAATATTATGTATATGGACATGGAACTCCGACTTTCAACAGTGTGAATTCTTTCTTTATAAACTATTTTTTTCTGAAATCTTGCTTGAAATTGCAATTGGATTTTCACTGTACGAATGATTGGTTGCTAATGATATCGACACAACTATATATATGTATATATTGCATTAGTCTATACTGTTGCGTCATCGAGATCACGTGACTATTCTCACGCTCTCTACTTTCTAGAACTATCCTGACTTTGGCGAATG